AAACCAACGTCGACCCCATCGCTTATTCGCATTCGATTTTTTTTTTGGTCACCTTTAAAGTACGATCGCAGCGGACGCTCTTCCGGCACCGCCATCATCTCGTACGAAACACCCACCGAAGCAACGAGGGCGAAAAAGCAGTTTGATGGTATCCTTGCCAAGGGTAATGTACCCCTCCTTCAGTATACGACTTCTTTTGCTAGAATGTTGTGTGCTACGCGAGAAGTACACGTGAATTGACCCTTTGCATTTAGGACAACCCATGACTATCACTTTCGACACGATGCCGCCACGACAACCTCGCCGAGCAAGCGCACCGACGTCGCTTATCAACAGAATACAGAAACCCCCGCTTCTCGACCGTCTCAGCAAAGACGATTCCAGCATCAAGACGCCTTCTGGCCCGTTCGTCGTGTTTTCTCGTCGGTACTATATGTTCTTTGGTTAATTCATATCCGCAGTCGAGGTGGTACTGGCCCCGTACGAACACGACCTGCCCGTGGTGGTGCGACACGCGCTCCTAAAAAGCCCAAGACGGCAGAGGAGCTGGACAAGGAGTTGGATGCATTCATGGGTGATGGAGAACCTGCAGCAGAGCAGGCTCCCGCTGCTACTGAGCCGTCGGCCCAGCAAGATGTTGAAATGGCATAAGGGTGTTTCGTTTTTTTCTTGAAAACCTTCTTAGGATATGTATAACTGCTTCCGTTTACCTTGTACTGCCTCCCGACTCTTAATATATGATGTAATCCATACTTTGCGTCCTTAAGCAGACGTTATGGGTTTGATGAAAATTATAACGAGGCTGAAAATTGTGTGTAGATTGGATAGATTATTGAAAAAAGGTACGCTGGAAGCAGGATTTGAACCTACGCGGTGAAACACCAAGTGATAGTGAATGATTCAAATCACTCGCCTTAACGACTCGGCCATCCCAGCTCATGGAAACGGATCCAGCCATAAGATCAACATCATATACTCGACCACAGGCAAAAGAGGTCTTCAGAAAAAGATAACTCTCCTGCTCCCATAACATGTATGAAGACATAAATCTAGTCAAACCAAAAGTGACCCATAATTGTGTCGTCCCATCCACGAGTCATACTGGTGAATTCTTTAAAGATAGCAACCCTCCCCTGCATGTATATCTGGCGATCGTCCCAAGGAATGATTTTCGACTCGAACTTTGTGGATTTCAGGCCATTTGTATGATCGGTGCATTTACAATAGAAAACCATGCGGCAACGAGTCTGGATCCAAGCCCAAGTTGTTTCAAAGCTGTAGTTGTCAAAGGGGAGCGCAGACAAATCGAGTGTGGGTTGAATAATCTCTTTTTGTTCGACCTCGGA